TTGTTATACTTTTTTTACATAGAATAATGCAAGCTTATTTACAGCGTAGGAGGGGCGCCCATTCAATGGAATATAAATTAAGTCAATAATTTGGCAATGGATGAGGGCCCTGGTAAAATCTCCAAAACAGGATGTAGCAGCATTGACATTTAGCAGAATTTCCCGAAATCCAGTTTTCTGAAATTTTCAATGTGTTTGGCTATTTTTTCAAAGCTTCAATCACCACTAGATTATTAAGAATACTCTGTTACATTGATTATGCCAAGACTTAGCTGGTTTAGACGGCTTCACCATTGTTTTCAAAAAGACGCTTATAAATCCCTGTTCAAATTCAGTTTTTTACAATTTTAACCCTGTTTGGCTATTTTTTCAGGAATTAAACCTTCACTATATTATTCAGCATACTTGATTACATTGATTATGTCAACATTTAGCTGGTTTAGACGCCATCTTCATCATGCTTAAAAGGTTACTAATAAATCGATATTTTAATCTGTTTTTTGCAATTTTGACCCTGTTTGGCGATTTTCTCAGTGATCAAACCTTCACTATATTATTCAGTACCCTTGATAACATAGATCACGAATAGAATCGACTGGCTTAGCGTCCTGTTTTAACGTGCTAAAAAATGCAACTCTCGAATCATAATATGAACTTTTCTTCCGAATGCGTTGTTTTTTCAAAAAACGAATCAAATATTCGGAATCAGCATAAAAAATTACATTTAAAAAAGTTCATTTCATAAAAATATTCTAAGAGGAGATTTTCCCTATTCATTTGCAGGTCCTCCTTTGGAAAAGTTTAAACAATTTAAATAAGCGAATAAAAGTAACCGATTGATATTAAATATATATATTTATCGTCATTTTATCACCATTTCCATGTTAAGATAAAATTGTGTTTCTTTTTTATATTGTGCTAGAAATAAAACTTACTATCCTTTAGGTAAATTCCGAAATATCATTTTTATTGTTTCAATTGTGCAGTACTGTACCCGTTACCCTTAACTCGACCAGATACAGAAAATTTACACTTATTTTGACCAAAAAACAGCGCCGTCTAGTATATTGCCAATAGTAAGACGAGAGTACTATTTATACTAGGGCTAGAGCTTTACCAATAGATGGCTCTGATTTTTTAGTCAAAACAAGTGGGAATAGACTGAATTAGAAATGAAAATATATTTTGTAGAACGTGTAACAGTATTTCATGCATTTTAGACACCGAAGCCAGTCAGTCATTCACCAATCGACTGACTATGGGTTACAACGACTTGAGTCGACTAAGTCGACTCACAACTTGATCGACTCAGTCGATAGCTCAAATGACTGGCGCTCAGTTGGCTTTCAATCGACTGACTGACTAACTCAATCGACTGACTTCGGTGCATTTAGTAATAAACTCTTTTTCGTTATATTTTGGGTTGTTATTTTTTTATATTGTTACTTTGATTTGATATTATCACCATCCAGTTAATACCTGCCACAATGGATGTTCAAGAAGATGCTTCATCGCTTTTACTTAGTACTTATAAAACAGGAAAGTGGAGTGATGTAACCATCATGAACGGAGATAAGAAGTATAGACTCCATAAAAACATTTTGTGCACTGCAATCCCTTATTTTGATAAAATGTTTTCATCTGAATTCTCAGAATCAACAAGTGAAGTGATCAACCTCGACCATAACCCGGATGTATTTGACCTTATTATCGAATGGGCTTATTGTTCAAAAATAAAGATATCAAAAGAAAATGCTGTCGACCTGTTCCATCTTGCTGACTATATGAATATTCCTAAATTAACAACTGTATGTTTAAATTTCTTATGGAACAACTTCTCTGATTATCCGTTCATAGATGTTGGCCACTGGATAAATCAAATTTCTACGGAAGAAGTAAATAATTTTCTTGATAGATATATTTGTTCGAACTTCTGGGACATTGTTCATACAGATTCATTTCTTGAATATGATGTTGACACTGTTGCTTATATGATCAGTTTTTTTGACTTGGACATTGATAATGAAATGCAAGTTTTTGATGCTATCATAAAATGGATAGAAAAACGTGTCGAAAGAAAGTCTCATCTTTCAAAATTGCTCAGGAAGGTTCATTGGGTTGAGATAAATAAAGTCCAGTTCATCAACAGAATCGATAAATTATCTTGGACTTTGCATGATCGGACGCGTCCAGTTATCATGGCTGCAATTGAGCTCATGTTTTACAAATCATTGAAAAAAATGAAATCTATCGACGTTGTTTTCGGGCCTCGTTATGCATCAGACAGCTTTCATTATGCCATCCGTAGGAAGACTGATTCTTCCATAGAAGCTGATAATTTTAATGGAGATTATGGCAAGATTATTTTTTCAGAAAATCGTTCTCTTCCTCCAGCTAATTTTGGTGATTCCCATATAACTGAACATTGCATGGACTCTGATGTGATTATCAGAATCGACTGGAAGAATAAAACTTATCGGTTATTCAGAGATTCTGATTGTTGTTACATTCTCTTGTTTGGGCGCTTATTTCTATTCAACAAAAAGTGAGTATAAGATAATGTAACTAGTCAAAACTATATTTACAGTATCCATAGTTCAATTCGTTCAATCATCGTAATCATACGAAAATTTCTTTAGTGACAGAAAAGTTCATTTTTGGAAAGGAGAACGACTTATTGAGTTCGCACATTTACCCGATGGCAATACAACCAGTCAATCAACTGTCACGTTAACCAAATACAAAGGAGGGCTTTGTTTGTCAATCATTGCTACAAGCGGATCTTACAATCAGAATTACTACAACAGTTACACGGAATACAAATCGCAATTGACTATTGCGAATTGTACTTCTTCCGAAGACATGTTCAAGGTTGTTGCTAGTCATGAAATCGTCACAAAAGAACCCATAAAGAGGCTGAAAAGTACAACTTTACGTGACTTGCTCGTAATATTTGTAGATTGCTCTCTGATCCTTTCATACGATTTTCAACAAAAAATCTTTAAAGAGCATAAAAATGACTTGAATGGCCGTAGCCTGTGCTTTCTACATTATCGCCATTTCGGTCCAAGATTGTTAATTTTCAATAATGATGGAAACCAAAGTAGACAAGGTTTTCATGCCGATAGTGGAGAACTATCTTGTCTGGCTGATCCTCATGAGCCATATGCCGGTATTGAATCCGAGCCTAATCTATTTGGTTTCCTTTCGCTTGAAGCGGGACACCACGCTAATATGAGTGATTTGCAATGTAAGTAAAATCAAAAAAAAGAAACCATTTCTGGAAGAAAAAGATTTGACCAAATTAAATTTTCTAGCTGAGCCAAATAAAAATATAATTTACAAATAAGACCAAAATATCTATTTCAATCTACTTGTATTTCATCTTAATGTATTTACACTGATTTAAAAAAGTTGAATTTCACTTTATGTGCAAAGGAATAGAGCGTTGGAATAAAATTAAATGGATAGATGCACCTCTGATCAATTTTTACAATACAAAGAAATATATTACAAAGAATATATTTGTTACAAAATTTAAAGGAAATTAAATGGAAAGTGAAGGCCTTTTTTTGCCATTCCGAGAAGACTTTGATCCAGTTTTGCCAAAAACAATTCCAATCATCTTTCCAATCATTGCTGGACTCGTTTTCCTTCTCATTGGTGGTAATGTTTTCAATAAAGCACAAGGCTTTGCTTCACGAATCAAACTTTGAAATGCCAAAGAAACACCAATGTAACTCTCTGCTGCCGATACTTCATAAAACTGACACTGCCACAGAAGAGACAACCACCCTAATCTAAAACATCCACTATTCATTGCCATCGAAAAGTGGTGAACAATTTGGTAGAAAATCTTATGAAAAAAATGATTGAGATGTGATGGACATTGGTAGAAAAAAGCCAATTCAAGTTGAAAAATTATGCCTTGAAGATAATGAACTGCGTGCTGACATCTCGATTATATATGAATACTGTGCATATCTATTAATGTTAATGTTAAGAAAACCGGTAATCCAGAGTAAAATTCACTTGGCATAAACAATAGTTTAATCGCGTTAGATCAGATCAGATCAAAGATTAATGTATAAGATCCTAAAGTAATTCAGAACAACTGAGGGACAATGTCCACTGGATGGCACCACAGAAAAACAACGTGGTCAATAGTCAACTATCTTTACCTTTAAAGATGGGTGATTTTCGATCACAGGGGTGATCCATCTTTTCGCTAACAATAAGTCAATCGATCTCTTAAACTAGCGATGAATATCGATCTGAAATTTTTCGATATTTAGCTTCTTTTCACTATTTTTTACACAAAAATCACTTTAAAAGACAATTTTAATCAAAGCAAACTTCTGTTATCGAGCATAGGATGTGTCGATATAATACATCTCCTTTAAAATGGATCACGATCATATTTTTCTCTCCGATTATCGATCTTTTCGATCGATCAATCATATAGGAACATCTTTACGCACCTTGCTTCTCGTCTGCACTATCTTATGCTTTAACTTTTGTTGTCGTCTGTTTCGTATCAAATTCATTTTTATAATTATTCTAAACTGTGAATTTTTTATCATTGGTTTATACTTTAATATAATAAAAGCAGTATTTCGTAAATTTTGCAATTCTTTTCAGTATTTTAAACTAAATTTTTTGAAACTGTTGAGCCGTTCTATTGCAAATTATCGCCCTTCATTTACTTCATGCCACAATGGAGATTCAAGAAGATGCTTCATCGCTTTTACTTCGTGCTTATAAAACAGGAAAGTGGAGTGATATAACAATTATGAACGGAGATAAGAAGTATCGAGTTCACAAACTTATTTTGTCGGATGTGATTCCTTATTTTGATAGAATGTTTTCCTCCGGACTCTCAGAATCAACAAGTCAACTGATCGAACTTGATCATCCGCCACATGTATTTGATCTTATTATCGAATGGGCTTATTGTTCCAAGATAAAGATAACAAAAGAAAATGCTGTTGACTTGTTCCATCTTGCTGATTACATGAATATACCTAAATTGACAGCTTTATGTTTGGATTTTTTGTGGAACGAATCTTCTGATTCTCCGTATATAGATGTTGGCCACTGGATTAATCAAATTGCCACGGAAGAAGTACTTAAAAGTATTGATCAATATATTCGTTCAAACTTCAGGGACATTGTTCATACAAATTCTTTTCTCGATTATGATGTTGATACTGTTACTTATATGATCAATTTGGATAACTTGAATATTGACAATGAAATGCAAATTTTTGATGCTATCATGAGATGGATACGAAAAAATGTCGAAAGAAGGTCTCAGCTTACAAAAATGCTCAAGATTGTGCACTGGGTTGATATCAATGGGGTTCAGTTTATGGACAAAATCGATAAATCTTGGATTATGGATTGTGATCCGGCGCGTCATGTTATCATGGCTGCATTAGAGCTCAGTTTTTTCAAATCATTGAAAACAATTCAAATTAACGATGTTCATTTTGGTCCTCGCAATAAATCTGACGGCTTTCACTATGCTGTCTATAGAAATAATGATTCATCTATAGATTTTCATCATTTTGATAGAAAGTATGAATCCATTAATCTTTCTGAGAATCCTTTTCTTCCTGCTGCTAATTTTGGAGATTCAAATATCACTGAACATATTTTTGACTCTGATGCAGTTATCAGAATCGACTGGAAGCATAAAAATTATCGGTTATTCAAAGATTCTGATTGCTGTTACACACTTTTATTTGGACGCTTATTTCAATGCAACAAGGAGTGAGTATTAGATAATGTAACTACCCAAAGCTATCTTTACAGGATTAATCTAACTTTCTATTACAAAAAATTTCTCTAGAGAAAAAAAAATTCATTTTTGGAAAGGAGACCGACTCATTGAGTTTGATTATCTTTTTCTCGATCAATTAGACGGTCAATCAACGCTAAAAACGTTAACAAAACACGAAGGAGAGTTTTTGTTATCGGCCATTACCACCGCTCCGAAGAGAAATCAAGTTCGCCATTGCTACCAAAATGCCGAGGGATACAAATTGTTAACAGTTGAGAAAAATAATGGCGATTTTTTTGCGAGTCATGAAATTTTTACAAAAAAACCCATAAAAATGCTTAAAAGTACAACCTTTCATGACTTGTTGGTAATATTTGTAGACTGCACATTGATCCTTACATATGATTTCAACAAAAACACCTTTAAAGAGTATAAAAACAGCGAAATGGAACACATGTGCTGTCTATATTTTCACTCAACTGGTTCAGAATTGTGGATTTTCTTTAATGAATCGGAATCAGGCTACGATAAAACAATTATGCAAGTTTTTCGTGTCGAAGATGGGCAACTGATTCCTGTGCCCGTTTCACACAATCCGATTTGCAGTATTGTAACCGATTGTAAGATGATTGGTTTAATTTCACTTGAAGCGAAGCACTAATATGCATGTAAATGTTACAATGCTGACATCTCAATGATATTATGAATTCTATGTTTATCTATTTATATTATGAAAAAGGTAATTTTGAGCATAACATTGAATTTCATTTTATGTACAAAGAAATTGAGCGTTGGAATAAAATTAAATTGATAGACGCACCTTTGATCAATTTTTACAATTCAAAGAAATATATTTGTTACAAAATTTAATATTTAACTTCAAATGCTCCGAGAAGATTTTGATCCAGTTTTGCCAAAAACAATGCCAAGAAGAGTGTTGACTACTCATTGATCCTTTCATACGATTTCCAGAAAAATATCTTTAAAGAGCATAACAATGTCTTGAATGGTCGTAGTCTGTGCTTTTTACATTATCACCATTTTGGTTCAAGATTGTTGATTTTCAATAATGATGGACATACAAGAAGACAAGTCCTTCATGTAGATGGCGGAAAACTGTCTCATTTGCCCTATTCCGTATAATGAAAACGGGTAATTTTGAGCATAAATTTCGTTTGATCTAAACAATAGTTTTTCATTGGGTTGGAGATGATCGACCATTCAGGCTGATCATGAAACGCCATACTGATTAATATTATATAAAAATGGTTAATTTATTGTAGATGCAGGTGGATGTAGAATTAAGTAAAATTTGTGCAACAAGAGTAAGAAACCCAATTTTATGATCATTTATCGTGCTTTAAGAGTCACCGATGGTCAGTAAGACGCAAATGCACAGATTAAATGAAATTTTTATCTAACGAAAACCGTCTTGAGAAAAGATCTGCTACTATTTTTGCATGGAATCGATATATTTCTTTCTAGTATCATCTCAAGATAGGTCATAGTGGACCTTTTAGGTCAAAGATTAATGTACCGAGTGTGGGAAAAGTCATGCATAGCATTTTTTTTAGCTTTTTTCACTTACTGTGCATAGAATCGCATTGTGAACAAAGTGACGGAATTTTTTGTTGATTAAATTAACCATTTCATTAAGAAGTTCAGGACAAACTCTGAATGTTGGATACACAACTTTGATTGTAATCCTGAAAACTAAATCGACTACATTGAATAGTCCATAGAATCCAAGCCAAAGGTGGAACCTTTGAGTCGAAATAAAAGTTATTCATTTTGTGATGAAAATAACCATTCTTCAATCACAGGTATAGATTTGAGAGTTGAACCTTTGTTGGTTTTGGAACATAAAATTGATTTCATTTGATAAGTTGAAATATTTTTCTTATGAACAATCATTGACAAAATGAGTTTAAAGTTGAAACTTCGATCTCTTTTTGATCAGTTGAGGCAATAGATTTATTCATCAAACTCTTTACTCTAAAGACAGTTTTACATTTACATGTACTCCTTATCCAACAATAAAACATCAAAGTGAATAATCAAAAAGTTTTTTCCCCAAACACGGATTCTGCATTTCCCCCCACCCTTTTTAAACGTGAATTTCTCATTAATTTGAATTCTAATTAAGCTCTAACTATTTTTAAGACATGTAGTTCAATCATGGCCTTCAGACTGTTTAAAAAAATTTCTTAGAATTCTTTCCGTTTAGTCACAATTTATACACAAATATTCGATGTTTTGAAATAACGAGCATTATAAATTAACTAATAATAATAGATAAATTAAACCAAATAATGTTCATTTCTTAGATTTTGTTAATATTTGCTCAACTTGGCTTTTCTGAATGGCCATAAAGTGTGTGATACGCTAAAGTATCCGATTAAAGCATTTTTTTCTCAGTCTCCATCGAGTGATAATGGCATTCATAAAGTAGCAGCGCTTAAGATTTTAGGTGTTGCAAGGATTATATAAATTAAAATATCAATGAAAATTTTAAAAATCGTAGGTGGAGACTGAAAATTGCTTCAACCGGGTACTTTAGAGTGTAAGAAAACTTCTCATATGTTTTAATATTAAAACCTTTCTCCCTTTCTTAATTAACATAACCCATTGCTTATTACACTCCACTATCTTCTAAGTCGTCATCTACCGCTTAAATCTATCAAATTATGCAGCGTTAACATGGGTCGATGTAATTTTGATAATAAGCTAGATTTTGTAGAAATTCAACGAGATGAGAGCATGAATTAACGAAAAATTTCATAGAGTTATCACTCAACTCTTTTTTGTAATATTTTACTCTGAATTTTTTATATTGTTGAGCCGTTTGCTTTTACATTATCCTCACCTACAGTTACTTCATACCACAATGGAGATTCAAGAAGATGCTTCATCGCTTTTACTTCGTGCTTATAAAACAGGAAAGTGGAGTGATATAACAATTATGAACGGAGATAAGAAGTATCGAGTTCACAAACTTATTTTGTCGGATGTGATTCCTTATTTTGATAGAATGTTTTCCTCCGGACTCTCTGAATCAACAAGTCAACTGATCGAACTTGATCATCCGCCACATGTATTTGATCTTATTATCGAATGGGCTTATTGTTCCAAGATAAAGATAACAAAAGAAAATGCTGTTGACTTGTTCCATCTTGCTGATTACATGAATATACCTAAATTGACAGCTTTATGTTTGGATTTTTTGTGGAACGAATCTTCTGATTCTCCGTATATAGATGTTGGCCACTGGATTAATCAAATTGCCACGGAAGAAGTACTTAAAAGTATTGATCAATATATTCGTTCAAACTTCAGGGACATTGTTCATACAAATTCTTTTCTCGATTATGATGTTGATACTGTTACTTATATGATCAATTTGGATAACTTGAATATTGACAATGAAATGCAAATTTTTGATGCTATCATGAGATGGATACGAAAAAATGTCGAAAGAAGGTCTCATCTTGCAAAATTGCTCAAAAAGATTCACTGGACTGATATTATTGGAGTTCAGTTCATGAACAGAATCGATAAATTACCTTGGATTGAGAAGTGTGACGAGGTTCGTCCAGTTATCGTGGCTGCATTAGAGCTCAGTTATTTTAAATCATTAAAGCAGATACAAGTAAAAGACCTAAATGTCAACCATCGTATTTCATCTAATCGTTTTCACTATGCTATCTATAGAAAGACTGATGCATCCATAATAGTTCATAACTTCAATGGAAAATATGGTAACATTATTTTCGCTGAAAATCGATCTCTTCCTACAGCTAATTTTGGTGATTCATATATAAGTGAACATAATATAGATTCTGATGTGGTTATCAGAATTGATTGGAAAAATAAAACTTATCGATTATTCAAAAGTTCCGATGGTTACTGCTACACTCTTTTGTTTGAGCGTTTATTTCAATTCAATAAAACGTAAGTATTAAATAATTTAACCATTCAAAACTATCTTCACAGTAATGATGCTCTAACTTGTAATTACATAAAAATTTCTCTAGTGACAGAAAAATTCATTTTTGGAAAGGAGGACGACTTATTGAATTCGCATGTTTTTCCGGTGCCAATACATCTAGTCAATCAAACTTCACTGCAACCAAGCATAAAGGAGGCATTTGTTTATCGAGCATCAATCCAATCCAAGGATCTAACAATCAGAATTACTACCAAAATAACAGGGAATATAAATCACAATTGACAATTACGAAATTTACTCCGCCCGGAAATAAGTTAAAGGCTGTTGCAAGTCATGAAATTGTTACAAAAGAACCCATAAAAAAGCTGAAAAGTACAATTTTACATGACTTGTTGGTTATATTTGTCGACATCTTACTGATCCTTTCATACGATTTCCAAAAAAATACCTTTAAAGAGCATAAAAACACTAACATGACCGGTCGCAACCTTTTCTTTCTACATTTTCGCTGGGTAACATCTATTTAAGCAAAATAGATTTGGGCAAAATAGATTTAAGAGAAATAGCTCTGAGCGAAACAGAATCAAGCGAAATCGGATTATTTCAAAGAAGTTCAATTTCTAAAGATCTTAAAATAAAACTGATTATGTTTCTTATATTAGAGATTCATTCAATAAATTCATTTGCAAATTTTGCGAAGTTTTGTCAACATATCTTCATTGTATTTGAGTTTTTTGTTCTACACCATCATGAGTGTTCAGTATTCATTTATCAATTCAAATAGAAATTCTAAACTTTTAGTTATTGATAATTATCAGTTCAGAAAATATAAAACTTATCAGAAAACAACTTACTGGAGATGCATTCATAAAGTTTGTGATGTAAAAGTAATAATGACCGATAGTTTTATATCATCATGTCCAACTCATTCTCATCCTGCTTCTGTTCCTGAATTAATTCAGAGAGAGCAAAGGAATGAAGCCAAAAAGTTCATCATCGCCAATCCAACTTCATCAATTAATGATGCTTATCAACATGCAACTAATGATATAATTTATCGTAATCAATATGATATTAATGAAATTTCGTCAGGACTGCAAACTTATCATTCTCTTCAGCCCACAATATCTAGACAGCGACTGAAATTAATTCCAGCAATTCCATCATCTCGACCTGACATCAAGATACCTGATAATTTCAAGATGCTGAAATCAGGAGAAAACTTTCTATTAGCTGATAATGGACTCGAAGATAAAATTCTGATTTTCGGAACTGTGGATTTCTTTCGACTAATGTGCAATGCTGAATCTATTTATATGGACGGAACTTTCAAAACTTGTCCAACACTTTTCCAGCAAATTTATTCATTACATATTCTCATCGATAACTTGATGATACCGATAATCTATGGACTTCTTCCAGGGAAAAGTGCTGATATCTACAAACGTTTTTTTCGACTCATCCAAGATATTGCATCTGATCTTGGAATGACTTTTAGCCCGTTAATATTCCACATCGATTTCGAGTCAGCAGTTATCTCAACAATCAAGACGCTTTTTCCGAACGCAATTATTCGTGGATGTTGCTTCCACTTTTCTCAGTGAATTTGGAGAAAGTTACAAAAACTTGGCCTAACGAAACGAGCAAAAGAAGACGATGGAAATAACATAGTCGCTCGAACTTTTAGATCATTATGTGCCTTTCCATTGCTTAACCCGGACGATATTGATTCTGTTTTTGAATATGTTGTAGCCGATATCGAAGATTCTGACGATAACTTGAATTTACTTTGCGAATATTTTTACAATAACTTTTTCTGTGAAAACGCGCGATTTCCTCGACTCATTTGGAATCATTATGATAATCAAGGACCTCGGACTACAAATCATGTTGAAGGTTGGCATAATGCCCTGAATTTAGCCTCAAAGATTGCTCATCCTAACATTTGGAACTTTATCAGATTAATACAAACTCAGCATATTTCGTTTTCAGCCAAACTTTTATTACATCGTAATGGAGCGTAAGTGATTAAATTACCGAAAAAATACAAAGAGCATCGAGATCGCCTCAATAATTTGATTAATAGTTACCATCAATACGAAATCAATGCAATTAATTTCTTGAATAGCATTAAATATTTATACTTTCGATAATCGATTAATCGGAATTATTTTACTTTCTTTTTCTCTTTCTTTTACTCCTTCTTTTTCTCTTTCTTTTCTCTTTCTTTTCTCTTTCTTTTTCTCTTTCTTTTTCTCATTTCATGATAAATTATAAAATCCATTGATGAATTATTGAAATAAAATTATGATATTATCTTTATTGGATCCGATACTTTTTAAAAATACTTGATATTTCATATCCATATGTTTAATCCTTTTTTGCTTTAGTCTATTTTGCTCATTTGTATTTTGCTTGAAAGCTTTTCGCTCAAATCTATTTTGCTCAAAGGGACTATAATCTTTTCGCTCTGATGGACCAAAATTGTTGATTCTTAATAATGATGGAGCCACAAGTAGACTAGGCTTTAACATTGATGATGGAGAACTGTCTCGTTGGCCCGATGCGAGTAAATTTTATCCCAATATTGTACCTAATTCGAATCTAATTGGTTTTTTTTCACTTGATGCGAAACACAATGCTAAGTTGCATGATTGTTAATTCAAGTAGAATAAAGTTATAAGATTCAAGTTAAAATTAAATTGATAAATGCATTTTGATCAATTTTTACATTAAAAAGAAATATTTTACAAAGAATTTATTTGTTACAAAATTTAATATTTAACTTCAAATGCTCCGAGAAGACTTTGATCCAGTTTTGTCAAAAACAATGCCAATCATCTTTCCAATCATTGCTGGACTCGTTTTCCTACTCATTGGTGGTAATGTTTTCAATAAAGCAGAAGGCTTTGCTTCACGAATCAAACTTTGAAATGCCAAAGAAACACCAATGTAACTCTCTGCTGCCGATACTTCATAAAACTGACACTGCCACAGAAGAGACAACCACCCTAATTTAAAAATCCACTATTCATCGCCATCGAAAAGTGGTGAAAAATTTGGTAGAAAATCTTATGAAAAAAATTGATTGAGATGTGATGGACATTAGGATGGAAAGGAGCCGGTTTCAGCCATTGAACCATTGAAGTCTAGTCTTCAATTAAATTTCATCCTGAAGCCTTGTCGTATTTTAAGCATTGAATTGATGAGATTAGTCAACAATTGTTTCGCTCATAGAAAAGATCAGACCGCTATTCTCAGCGTAGTTTTTTCAAATACTCATGGTATGTTTTGATTGGCTCAGTTAATTTATTGGTTCAGCTTTTGATCGAATAACGGAAGAATACAAATTTGATCAAAAAGATCGATTGTTAATTTTACACTAGGAAACCTGAATAATTGTATAATTTGAAATGTTGAAAACAAACATATCAGGATAACACTGAACGTTAGATACATTGTAATCCTGAAAACTAAATCGACTACATTGAATAGTCCATTAAGGATGAATCCAAGCCAAAAATGGAACCAATGATTCGAAATAAAAGTCACCTGTTTGCTGAAGGGAAGATGAAACCAGATGAAGAAATGAAGGCAAATTAAGAGTTAAACAATTGTTTTAAATGGTACCTTTGCTATAGTTTCTATTCTTCATGCCTAATAAATTAGACAAATTTAACGAATTAAGGTTCTAATCAATAGAGGGAGACTATCAAAATTTTCACAACTTTACGGGACCATTCTCTGTACCATCTAAAGGGTGTTAAGGTTTATTCTTAGCAAATTAATGGACAAGCAATCGCATACCATTTTAAGTGAAGAGTTTGATGAGAAACTCATGAAATGCCATGTTAGTAATTTCATTTTTTCATAGTCTTTTCTGGTTGAGCTACAGGGTAAAAAGATTTACAGCACTTCACAAGTGAAACAATCAACTGCGATGATATTCCTGTAGTTTACCTAAATGATGTTAATGTTGTCATGGGTTGGACTAAAAAACCAAAATGCAACCAAACAACCAAAACGACCAAAATAAACCAAAATAAACCAAAATTTACCAAAATTAACCAAAATAGATTAAAATAGTAATTATAAAGAATCTGACTTTAGTTATAAGAGCATGGACTTTCTAAGATTGTAGGGACATAAGAGCTGGGGCTTGTATCATAGAAGCGAAAACAATTTTAGCTAAACTCTTTAAAGCGAAAGCTCTTTTGGCGAAATCTAACTAAGCGCATTATGATGAATGAAATTTAATCAGTTTATTGAAATAAAGATATTTTCTTGGAAATAATTTGTCAAACTTTACTCAACTTCAACCCAAACTAGTTCATTTCATATTTTACTTTTTCTTCAAGAATTTTTTCAATTTTGTCAATAATGAGCCAATCAAATTTTCGCTTCGTGTCCTCATCAAGAGGAGGAAAACTTTTAGTAATCGACAATCACATCTTTCGCCGTAAAAAAACTATCAATGATACTGAATATTACTATTGTGTAAAATCTAATTGTAAATCAAGTGCAACCTTGCAAAATTCATTGCTAATTAGATCATCACCACACAGCCATGAACCTGATACTGGAGAACTTATACGTTATGAACATAAGAATGAAGCAAAGAAATTAATTAAGGATTCAGAGTATCCTAAATTGTGCCAAGTTTATGATGAAGTAACAGATAAAATTTTGAACGATGGTCGTTTCAGCAAAAACGAAGCAGCTTCGAGTGTTCAACCGTTTGGAAGTGTAAGAGCAACCCTAAATAGGGCTCGACAAGAGCGTTTTGGTGCTTTACCAGCTAGCAGAGCTGGGATTGTGGTTCCTGATAGTTTGAAATGCAATTCGTCTGGACAAATTTTTTTACGTTATCAGGATGAAGGCGAAGATAAAATTTTACTATTCGTTACTGATGCATTTCTCAAACTTTTGGTGGAAAGTGAACATGTTTATGGTGATGGAACTTTTAAAAGTGTTCCGAAACTTTTTCAATCATTGTACACTTTGCATGTGATGAAAAATGGAATGATGATTCCGATCGTTTATGCATTACTGCCAAACGCAACAACTCAAACGTACATCGCTATGCTTCGCATCATTCAAGATTTGTGCTTCAATTGCGGATTGACATGGAACCCGAAAAAGTTTACAACGGACTTCGAGATTGCAACTATCAATGCTATCAAAGCTGTTTTTCCGTCCTGTGAAATAAAATCGTGCTTATTCCATTTTTGTCAGAGCATTTGGCGGAATACTGTGAAACACAATCTAGCCGAGCGCTATCAGTGCTCAGACGATGATCCAGTCAAAGTCGCAATTAAAAGAATTTCAGCATTGCCGTTTCTTAAAGTAGAAGATGTTTCGCCAACTTTTGATTCAATTTTGGCCCAAAGTCCAACAGACGAAAACTTTTTGGCGTTCGTAAACTATTTCAGACGGAATTACATCAACGATAACGCACGATTCCCAATCGACACATGGAATCATTTCAATTCTCGAGATCCGCGTACCAATAATCATCTTGAAGGTTGGCATTTCGCCCTAAATCGCTCTGTCGGCAGATATCATGCCAATTTGTGGTTTTACATCGAAAAATTAGTTAAACAGCAAAACAACTTTGAAATCAATTTACTTATGGCCTCATTCGGTACACAAGTGGTAACTCAAGCCCGGAAATACAAAATTAATGACCAAAAAATCTACAATCTGACGCAAAGTTATATTGATTGCGAGTTAAGTCCATTGGAATTCATTGATAGAGTTCGATATTCAACTTTTGTTTCCGATTGTATTGTTTTCTCTTAAATCGCTGCGCACAACTTTCCCATAGCCTTAAAAGATGCGCAATTTTGTTTTTACCATTGACATTAAGGCCAATTTTGTATTTAATATTGATAAACTAATAAAACTCCCAAAAAAAATCATTGTGAAAAAATCCATAGAACTTTTTATTTAACATTGCTTATCTCAGAGCCATCTATTGTCTGAAAAAGGGTTAGCCCTAGATGGCGCTTTTTTTCGCTCAAAGGGGTTTCGCTCAGATGAGCTTTGCTCAAAACACTATTGCTCAAATGTCCTCGCTCATTGGAACCCAGACCAAGAGCTGAGTCCATTAGTGCTATTGAAAAATTTCTCCGATCGAAAGTTTTCAAGTAAATCGAGTTTAAAGTTTAAACTTCGATCGCCTTTTGTACAATTATGGAACTAGATTTTTCCATCAAACTTATTTCCCTGATGTAACTTTTGATGGTCAACCAGAAAATGTACTTATTTTGTGAAAAAAAGTTTCTGTTTTTTGTAAAACAGATCACTTCGATTTTCATTTAAACCTGCGCCATTCTGTGACCGTAAGAGTTAGAGATCTGAAACTTATTATTTATTGATAAAAGTTGTTGAGAATGATGATTGTAGGTACTGCCATTCTCGAAATATCAAGGCTCAAAGTTTTTAGGCCAATGGCCGAAATCAAGAGTCCTGTTGATAAATTGAAAAAAGTGTTCGATCTTTGATGTGTATCAACAACTTTTATCGATAAATAATAAGTTTCAGATCTCTAACTCTTACGGTCACAGAATGGCGCAGGCTTAAATGAAAATCGAAGTGATCTGTTTTACAAAAAACAGAAACTTTTTTTTCACAAAATAAGTACATTTTCTGGTTGACCATAGAAAGTTACATCAGGGAAATAAGTTTGATGGAAAAATCTAGTTCCATAATTGTACAAAAGGCGATCGAAGTTTAAACTTTAAACTCGATTTACTTGAAAACTTTCGATCGGAGAAATTTTTCAATAGCACTAATGGACTCAGCTCTTATGTCCCTACAATCTTAGAAAGTCCATACTCTTATAACTAAAGTCAGATTCTTTATAATTACTATTTTAATCTATTTTGGTTAATTTTGGTAAATTTTGGTTTATTTTGGTTTATTTTGGTCGTTTTGGTTGTTTGGTTGCATTTTGGTTTTTTAGTCCAACCCATGTTGTCATCGAACAGGAATATAGTCGATCATCTCTTACCTGATGAAAAATTATTGTTTAGATCAAATGGATTTATACTCAAAATTACCGGTTTTCATAATATTAATAGAAAAGAACAGTAATCATAATATCATTGAGATGTCAGCACTTGATAAGATTCAATCTTTTAAACTATTTGTATTTTCATCTAATGTAGTTCATTATCTTCAAGGCATAATTTTTCAACTTGCATTGTTTAATGATTATCAACAACAACATAGATTGAAGAGTTATTGCAGCTACAGTAACAAAATGATTAATGTCTACATGTTTTGTCTTTAGTGCCTTTGTTTCAATTTTGCAGTACTAAAAAGGTTTTTCCCCTGCAGCTCAACCAGATAAGACTATTAGAAATGATTAACGTATATTATGTAGAACGTGTTACAGTATTTCATGTATTTCGTATTAAACTCTTTTTCGTAATATTTTGCATTGTAAATTTTTGTTATACTGTTAACTTCTTTGATTTGACTATCACCATTTAGTTACTTCATGCCACAATGGAGGTTCAAGAAGATGCTTCATCGCTTTTACTTAGTGCTTATAAAACAGGGAATTGCAGTGATATAACCATCATAAACGGAGATAAGAAGTATCAAGTTCATAAACATATTTTGTGCACTACAATTCCTTATTTTGCTAAAATGTTTTCCTCCGGACTCTCAGAGTCAACGAGTCGAGTGATCAAACAGGACCATCCGCCAAATGTGTTTGATCTTATTATCGAATGGGCTTATTGTTCAAAGATAAAGATAACAAAAGAAAATGCTGTTGACTTATTTCATCTTGCTGATTATATGAATATACCTAAATTAACAACTGTTTGTTTGAATTTCTTTGAATGAATTTGTTTGAATCAAAAACAAGAAATCATAGCCATTTCTGGAAGAAAAAGATTTGACCAAATTAAATTTCCTCAATAAGATCAAAATAAAATATCTATTTCATTTTACTGGTATTTCATCTTCATGTATTTACAAATGTAGCAACTTTGAAACCATGTAACTTTCGAACAAAGAATTTGCTATCTAAAAGGCTGGACAAAGCTTACACTAGGCTAGGTCACATCTTACCTATTAAAATATTTTAAGCCCAAAAAAAGTTTAAAATTTTCGTAGCTTTTGGGGCACTTCCCTTGTTAAAATTGTTTCAACTCAGATTTCAAATTTTAAAGATATGCTAACATATAATTTTCACTAATTTCACTCGTTTAATTATCAATTCATTTAGTTGTTATTACAGTTGATGAGTTATTGTAGTTGATGTGAGTGGTTTGTATTTATCTAAACTAAACAGTCATTGGATCAATTAATTAAAACTTGGGGATTTAAATGAATTCTAATGAAACAACCTTCATTTGGTGTAAGAAAATGACCAGACATGAGAACAGGATGATGATATCAATTGTAATTTCCTGTAGAGTTTATTAGTAACTCAATGCAATTAGTAATCTAATAATTGATTATTAATACTTTATTGAGTTAATTATAAAGCTTCAGCAAAGCTTAATCTTTTTCTAGTTTTAGGAAATTTGAGTAATGCTTTCATCAAAAAGTCTCATAACCAATTAAGAAATGTACAATCAACATCATGATGGTCAAATAACTTCCTAGTCTTAACATAATACAACGCTAAGTTTACTTGGAATCTTTTCATACCGTTATCCAGTTTCCATCAACTCAGTTTTACAAACCACAAATGTTAATGACAACGAAGATCCAAAAATATAGCTTATAACTTTTATTCATATCACTTAAATATGAAATTAGATTGATCAATCGGTATGAAAACTATCATGTTAATGAAGTCACGATAAGCAATCCAAATCCTTGATTCATTGAAATGGCTTAATCTTGATTCTCAGATGGAAAAGGTCGTCAAATAAGAGCAATGTCATGTTCTGATCAGCATTTTACGTAAATAATTATTGGAATTCAACAGACGAAATTGTAAATTAAACTCTTTTAGTTGTGCCTCCATTTTAGCTGATATTAACCCAACGAAATTAGTACCTTTGATTGGTTTTCCTTTGACCACTTTACATGTGTCTTCAACTGAATCAAATTCATACAGTTTTAACTGAACTTGACTCAAGAGAAACAGTTTAGACTGATGAAGAGTAAATTAAAATTAACTAGATTTACTGCAAACAGTGTAGTCAGAGCTTTTGATATGCAATTTCAAATATTTTTAATTTGATGTGTTGATGTTACCGAAAGAAGTTCTTATTTAAAAAGAGTGCAGCAAAAAGTCGAGCATTCGAGTTAAGTTTTGAGTCTTGGTAGGTTTGTAGAAGAATAAAAATTTAGTATTATACATTAGAGCTATTAAAAAAACTCTCCGATTGATAAAATCGAGGGCAAAGTTTAAACTTCGATCGCCTTTGTTCAATTATGGAAGTAGTACAGGGCATTTCAGCTATCTTTACCGATGTTTAACGCTTTTTTCTCGGCCTGTAAATGGGCCAGAGGCTTGAAAAAAGTTTTATGCAAATTTCGCGAATACTTATTTGCTATATTTCAAGGTCAAGGTCATTCAAGGGCATTTTTCGGAAATCGCTTCTAACAATGTTAGAGGTCAAACTAAGGTCGAATCATAATTTTCAAGGTCAAAGAGTCTTACTGGTCAAGTCTCGTCATTGTTTAATGAGCGCTTTGGAGGTATTGTCA